CACTTTTATTTACGTTAACTACATCATACTAGATTGTGACTTATTGGACATAATATTCTGTTTGGATTCCCGCAACAGTGAAGAGAAGAATTCCGGATAAAGAAAAGACAAAAGGATCGGACATATACTTTAACAGTTAAGTTGACATTTCAATGTGTATAATATTTCTTGTAAACTTGTATATAATAAATTTTGTTAAATTTTAATATTGATTTGTGTCTTTTGTTGGCTACAATTTAAAGGTGATTTCTGGCCGCAACGTTTGACCTATAATTATTAACTTTTTATACATTGTCACCTGGATGGACAGTTGTCTCATTGGCACTCATACCACATCTTCTTATTAATATTAACTCATCAGATCGATACAAAGCAGAAGTTGGTAGATTGCTACTAAGGTGAGATACATTTATAGTTTCAAGAGTGAAATGGTCTCGTTTGTCATAAATTCTGGTACTGATATGACCACTGTCGCTAATATCGAGACATTTGTCTAGAAATTGATTCGCTGTGAAGTGTGGTATAATATTAGCAGAACGTGGAGTAAGAGAACCATATTCTGTTTAATTAATATATTAAGTAGTCAAAGCTTAATTTATATTTGAATGCACCAGAGAGTGAAAGTGTTTTACACAGGACATACTAATGTGCACTATGTTGTTCTTTCAACTGCTTAAGCCTCAACTGATATTGTTTCCAAAATGCAACGCCATACTTTGTATACATTTACACGTTAAATCCGTATCAACACTCTCTAGTAAAGTATTATGTAAGAATCTAACAACTATTCTCACTAATTTCCTAAGATTTCTTGTCTTCAACTACAGTCAAAACTATCTCCGTATTACGCCACATATTTATTTTTTTTCAATCGTGAAATGAACAATTTAGTTATAAAGTATCATTTAGACCTTTTGTCAACTTAAAAGTATCGTCTAATTAGTTGTCAAAGGAATTTTTGAAAGTTCGACAAACACTACAAAAATAGTATTTACATATTTTGTGGAATACAAATTTTCAGAGGATGAAAATTTATAACCCTGGATAGCAAACACACAATAATTATAGTATGAAGCTTTTAGATAAGTGTAAACGTTCAAATAAAAGACAAATTTTCACTAAACTGTCGATTATTGAAGGTCTTTCCACTCAAATTCACTTAAGATAAGAAAATTTTGTTAAAAAACAGTATGTGTTTTAAAAGATAGCTTATTACACACTTATTTTTAAAATATAATGGTTCTAGGTACTTTCCAATGAAATGAGTGCAAAAAATGGCTACTAACGGTCAACAAAAGGTAGCGTCTGGTTGACCTTTTCAAGGTCATATGTCTACCAACCTAATGCAAAAGACCCCATGCTTTTATCATGTATAAATATGAATGTATACTAAAAGTCAAAATCTAGAACGTTATATTTAACTTTGACTTGACCTGAATTTCAAGGTCATATAGCAAGGACCTCAAATCAAAAGACCTTAGGTCTCTACTACCTATGGTTAATGAGTTAGATCCCAATACAGCTCATTTAAAACATTAAAGGGGGGAAAACTCCAATTTAATGTAACCGTACCCTTTTCATCAAAATATATATGGTACAACATGCTGCAACTAACAGAATTGTAAAAATATTTTGTCGATATCTTGTACGGTTTATATGGAGAAACGATAATAAGCCAAAATCAAAATTTAGAATATGACCTTGACCTCATTTTCTTTTTTATGGACTAAAGACCACATATATCAATAGACCCTACCTCTTTATCACTTATGGTTTACCTGTAACGATTATATTTCACTTATGTCGCATACATAAGGGGGAATAAATCTCACAAGGAATCACTGTATCGCTTCGGTCAAATTTCTCAAAATATCCTGAGGATATAACGAGCAATTTGGAAAATTCCGGTTAACAAAAGGTCACTTGCGGTTGACATTCTTCATAGTCATATAAATGTAACCCAATGTAACCCAATGTAAAAGACCATTTGACTTTATCTTGAACCAATAAGAAATAAGAGCAAAGGTGAAAATCTAGAACCTCAAATCAAACTTTAACCTTGACCCGAATTTCAAGGTCATAAAACAAGGACCTCAAATCAAAACACCCTGGTCCCTTCCTTATATGGTTAATGAGTTATGTCAACATACAGATAATTTCAAATATAAGAGAGGAGAAAACTATTAAATTTCAACGTACCCTTTCAATCAAACTTTACGTGTTGCGACATGTCGTAACTAACAATTTAGTAAATATATTTTGTCGGTATCTTAAACAGTTTCTGTTGAGAAGTATAATAAGCCAAAATCAAAATTCAAAACATGACCTTAACTTTTGACTTCGACCTCTTTTTTTTTTTTTTTTTTGGTGGACCCTGGACCTCAGATCAAAAGAACCTAGGTCTCTATCACTCATGGTTTACCAGTTACAAATACATTTCACTTATATCAAATGCAGAAGGGGAAATAACTCTGTATCGCTTCGATTAAAATTTTCTCAAATTATCCTTAGATATTACGAGCAATTTGGAAAACAAAATTGTCGGTTTCTTTTACGGTTGAGAAGGAGTAGTAATAACAAGAAAACCAGTGTTCGGGGAGATAACTCTTACAAAGAAAATAGTTCGGTTAAGCGGTGTTAGTTTCAAAAGCGCATTAACTGTTCGATATCATATACCAAATATCTAAGCGATATCTTCTAAAACAACCAAACAGCAAAAGAAACAAATTAGGCTGAAAAACAAAAATAATAATCAGAACAAAATCAATAGGTCTTTCCACAGAGAAGTCGGATTTCGGATTGAAATCATCTTCATATTTGAAGGGCATCTTTTACATAAGATGGAATTATATTAATGCGTAGAAGGAAGTTAGTCGAGTTAGATAGATATCTTTTAATGTTATTGTATTGGCTTTGGTATACTGTGAAGAAAAAAAAATATTTCCATATTCCTCTTTTTTATGTTAATACCAAAAGAGAGTAGGATTGATTTGTTACTTTTCTAAAATTTTCCCTTGCGTTTAACTTTTCAATTTTATATTCACCGAAACAAACTACTGTACAGTACGATAACGGTTACGATTTGAAAGGTTACTTTGTGAATAACGGAAGCACAAATTGATTTTATGTCTATAAAGGAAAGTTTACGCGCCTTATAAAATGAATCTATTATAATTCTCAATCATTTGATAGCATATAGAATAATTTTGTTTACAAACGTCATGAACCTTTACTATTTCATCATTATTATGTGAACACTTAAGTTAATGATCAGTAAAATAACAAAAAATCCGAACTCCAAGGAAAATTCAATATTAAGGAGCGCAATTTGATTCTGTATTGTTATGAATCACAGTTTATGGTCAAATTCAGTAAAGATCTGTCTATAGATTATTCAGGAAGAGTATGATTCAATTGGTAATGGTTTCGAACCAAATTGTAGATTTCAGTAACTGTGATAACTCTTACGTCGGTACTTTGTGTCTTTTGTTTTTATATTAACTGTCTTTTGTGCTTCGTTCCAATCTGAGTCAAGCTATTTTTATACAGTTTGTTCTAAGTTTGTGCTTTTACACTACTGTTCCAGGTTTGTTGGAAGGTTGAGCTCTAACAAACATGATTAACCACGCCATATTCTACGGTAACACATAAAATGTAAAATTGCTTGAACTCCAAAAGGAGCAAAACCAGGTGCGTCGACCTGGTGATCGTCTACTACTATATATAAATAAGAAGATGTGGTATGAGTGCCAATGAGACAACTCTCAATCCAAGTCACAATGTGTGAAAAGTAAACTATGTATGTATCATCCGTCATATGAATCCAGACTAAGTCAAATTGTCGTAATCGGTAATGTGAAACAATCGGGAATAGGACAAAATCGGTAAAATTAAACCTTAGACGGTCATTTTATAATCTAAAATTCAAAGACTGTGAAAACATGTCGTAAATAAGTTTAATAAACTCAAAAAAGAACGAGGCTGGGATTGTCCACAGGGTAATAACATAAACCAATTTTAATGCATCAGATGCGCATTTCGACAATTAATGTCTCTTCAGTGCTGCTCGTGACGTGATCAAAATATATGAATATCCAACATCTAATACAAATGTAAGCGTCATCTGTTTTGCATGTATATTAGACGACTATTCTGATAACTTAAAATCTCAAACTGCGAAAATATGTCGCTAATGAGTTGAGACACATACACATCGTATCGGTCAACCAGTTCGTGATTGGGACCGTTATACTAATAAAGTGTCGATTTCAGTCGTTTGGTGTTAAAACAAGTTTAGCCAGTACAAAATACGGATAATGTGATATCATGTGTCCGGCTTTGGCTATACTTTTGTTCTTTGTTGTTTATAAGCTCTTCATTTATTTTTAAAAGTGTTGGATTTTCAAATATTTTGGCATCGCGCTTCTCTGCAGAAACATTTTTATATTGTCGAAATGCGCATCTTGTGCAGTACAATTGGTACCTTAAATGTGATTACTACCATTGTCTCGACACCTCAGCTGGTTGGCTATTTGTCCCCGAGGATATCACCAGCAAAGTAGCCATTACTTTAGTACTGCCATGAAAAAACTAATTTTGTGATATAAAAATTTTGTGTTATAAAAATTTGGAGTTTTTTTTTATATTAAGGATGTTAGCTACTCTGTTTCAAAATAACAAGCTTTTTAAAAGACTTTTATAAATTGATATATAAATAAAGAAACTAAATAAGCAGAAAAAAATGAAGGGTCAGTGTGCTTTTTTTCGAGATATAAGCCTTTGAATATTTGGCGGGAAATAATTCTCTCTAGATTGTTCATCCACTTAACATTGGCGCCTTTTTTCTTTCAAAAACGATGAAAAAATAACAAGGATCTTATAAGATTTTCAAAGATGACATTTTAAACTATATGTAATCAAATTATGGAAAGAAAAGTTTGGGTTAGTGGGCAAAAACTTTTAATGGCACAAAATGGATAAAACCAGAGGATTACGAATATCTGGCAAAAATTCAAAAGCAAGAGGAGCGAACATCCTTAAGGAATATATCTCCCTCATGCAAAGCTCCGATTCTTTGTCCGGCTTTGTCTATAATTCCTTTTTCGTTTTTGATTTATAAGATCTTATTTTGTTGTTGATAAGTTCTGCATTTTCAAATATTTTAACCTCGAATATCATTGAAGAGACAGTGATTATCGATATGCGCAACTGGTGTTGAAAAATTTGTACCATTAATGTTATTAGCTGTACCTGAAAATATATAATACCAAACGAGATATGACAGACTGTTTTGTACAGCCATACTGTTTCTAAAGCTCGTAACTTCAGATACGTTTCATGTAAACTCTACGATTCGCTGAGTTAATTTTTCTTATGAATACTCAACTTTTCATTATACTAAGATAGTTAGATATCGGCTTTGTTGGCAATGGCATTGATTTTATTTTTAATTGTTTAAAACATATGTATTAATAATAATTAATTAACCCATTTGATCTAATACACGGTAAGATTTATAGTTTGTCATTGCACAAGGTTAAGCTTTTGAAGACTGCTGATGATATGTTCACTCAATCTGTTGAAGTTGTACTGATTGATATTTTAGACCAGGAGTGGATGGTATATTTACAATATTAGTTTAAACATGGCTTTCAATAACTGACAGAAGTTTTATATATCCATAATATCAAGTTATGTTCAACTGATTTATACCGTTATGTCTTATGTTGAGCTGTACACTAGTGTCTCCGATTGATTTTGATTGAAAACAAAACCGTAAAACCCCACCACCTTCCGTGTGTGCCTGGATCCAGCGGTTTGTCGTTGGTTTTGTCATTTGAATTGTCTAACAGTTTGCCCTTCATTATTTTGTAGTTAATTTTGCATATGGTGTTTGCTCATTGTCGAAGGCGGTACTCTGATCTGTTGATGTTCACATCTTTTCCCATTGATAAAAGATATATTGTTTAAGAAAAAAGAAAGAAGATAGCCATTAGGCAAGCATTGGCTAAATAATAAACCGACAACACCATGGCCAATGTGACATTGACGAATATACAAACACCAATAACAAATCACTACACAGAAAACTTTTTTTCCAATAAAGGGAGACACATAACTTTTTTTCGGCCCAATCAGAATCATTCCAAGGCTGTAACAAAACTGAATACCAATGCCACCTGTCGTGTTTTTAAAATGATACGACTTTTAGTTTTTGTTTTTTATATATCAAAAACGAAAAAAAAAGGAAACCAGAAACAAACAAAACAATTTCTCTCATGTTTTTCGTTTTAAGATATCAAAGAACTGACAAACAAATACACAAAACTTAATCGTTACATTGAAGGTAACAATCACTTCAATAACTATCTACTGTTAAACTTACCTCGGAAACCAAGTATCAAAAATCCTAGAACTCTATAATCGAACATGTCATGTGTTCTCTGCATTACATTGGATGTTGCATGACTCATAGATGTATGGTCTTTAACATAATGAAATATTTATTCTAAAATGCAATATACTTTTCATTTAGTTCTACCTTCATAACCTTCGTTGTTTTTTTGTGTGTAAGTCTTTCTTTTTTGATATGACTAATACTATAAAAATATTTCAAATGATCAATTATTTCCTTATCTTCAAATATAGTTCATTGGGCGTCCATGAAGTTACTGTCAGCATTTTTTTTTAACGATTGGTTTTGCTACTACAAAACTTTTTCCCTTTGCAAGATGCATCCTTAACTTTTTTTCTCGAAAGGATATGATAACCCTTAAATCACGTTGTGTTAACATCATATCACATGTTCAAACTACTATGTATTCCTTTTTTTACGCTCAAAACCATATCAATAGAGTTATGTCCTTCACCGGAAAATATCGTCAATTATGCGCGCCTTTATGACGTCATAAACCAGATAGAGGGTGATCGCCTGTATCCCTGCACTATTAACGTCTATCAAGCGTCTTAGTGATAGTCATTGTGCAGGATAATATAAACTAGAAATAATGTTTGTTCCGTAGGTACTTGATCACAACTCCTTAATGACAGCAGTGCTGATTGTCAATTATAAGCTATTTGATATAGTCAATACAAATATATAAAAAAACATATTCTTTTATCTGCTACTTTTAGAGATACATGGTGTCGAAAATTTCGACATTTACTTAAAAGTTCGGTTTCTCGAGTTTCTATCCTTTGCATAGATTTACCTAACTTTTTTGTTTCAAGAGATAAATACAAAAGGATTTTTTTGTAAAAACATTTGGAGTATCTTAGTTACATAAGTATGCTAAACATTTCTTTGATAATAAATCATTTTCATTACCTTGGCATAATTTTAGATAAAAACCAGCATTTTTTTGTGGTATATTAATCTAATTTTAAAAATTGCATCGGTGATTTGTTCATAAAAATGTGGTACAAATAAAATTTACACATAATCAAGCCAAATATCATATTAAAAAATAGGGGTCAATGCACTCGTTTTCAAGCTAATGATACAAATGAGTCGAAAAATGTTTGCACAAAATGTCAGAGTATGACGTTAGCGACGTCATATTCTCCCCTGTAACTATCATATGCCCTAAAAATACAATTGAACATAAATCATCTTACCATCTATTCTGTTCAGTATATCATTGGATTAATCAGTATTTGAAATGTTCAAATTATTATGGTTAAATCGAAATACTTCCTCTTAAACGAGGAAGGAAATGACTTGTGCTCGTAAATATGTAAGCCTTATATTTTTGTTGATATTTATTAAAACTTTTGAAAATATATATCCGCTTTATGATGATATAGTGCCAGTCACGTACAAAACTTTTTTGTCGTGACTATCGACTATAAAGTATAATAGTTTTTGCTCGTTTGCATTTGTAATTTTGCCTTATAAGTGTAAATTCCCCTATATCAGGTATAGACTACTCATCCAAATGTGGTTTATAGCTCAGAGAAGGCTACTCGTTGAGGGATGATACCAATAAATTATGTGGCTTTCAATCTTATGTATGTTTTGTTGAATCTTAATTGACAACAGTGTAACACAATTCAGACCTTGGGTTTATATAATAGTATTACTTTCTAGTATACATGTAGACAATATTGCTGCATCATCCTGTGCTGTCATGAATGTTGGTTGTGTCTTTTAACAACATTAACTCTTACATAATATACCATATAACAACAAAAATAGGATTTATTTAGTTGTCAAAATTATGTATAAAAACAATAAAACTATTTATTAATGATAACAAATTAGTAACGGTTTTACATAATATCGCAAATTCCTAACAAAATACCACATAACCAGCGACTACAACATAAATTGGCTTTGTCCCTACAAATGAATGTTGAGGCGAATGTTTAAGAGTTGATATGAAAAAGGAGGTTTATGTCATTCTTTAGTTTCTCTATCAAACTGAATCATGAAACCTAAGAATGAATTACATATCAAGTATTCGTCAAAACATCCCATCGGAAGCGCTGCTTTTCACTTAATATTTTTGTCGTCCTTATTTTGTCAAGTCACTAGAGTAAGTCATTAAAATCACTTGGTTGCCGATGTAACACAATTTGAAGAAAACATCATTACAAACACAGAATAATGTTTGATTATGTCTTCAGTGTCTATAAGGAATGTTTTAAGCAACGCCTATACATCAGTTCACTGTGTCGTGTTCGTGAAAAGGTGTCTGTCATTAAAACAAAAATGTTTTCCTCGTTAATAAGGAAATGAAGAAATGTTAACAACTAACTACGCAAAACACTGACACAACAAATGCCGTGCGCAACAAAAGGAAACAGAAACGTATGCCTCAGCATCGTAAAAGATTAATTGTACCGAGTTACGTATCATTGGATATGTTCACATACATTATTTTCGTCTGACCTGTCATCAATTTTAATATCGTAATTTTGCTATCCCCACATTGTAGCAATGTCTAGAGAACAGTGTGACTCATAACCAAAGTAACTTGCAAAACCCACGTAGAAATAAATGTGCAATCTTGTGTAGATCTTCTTATTGTGGCAGAAACGAACATTGATCAATCGTTTTATAATTACTTGTTCAAAGTAGATGACTAATTGACAACTTGTTTATTCGAAAACAACAACATCATAAATACCAACAAAGATGTTTCAGACCACTTCAATAATTTCCAACAGTTTCAGATAAGATTTGCAGTTATGTGATATACGATCCCGCAACTCTTGCTAGTATTTTGCAAATAAAAGGTCATAATTGCACAAACACACAATTTGACTTTTAGGAAAAAACTACAGAAAAAGGTAGATAAAACTTTAAACCTAATTACAATTCAAACGCTATTGCAGTAGATGGCATACCAGCAAAGTTGGTTAGATATTGTAAACCTATAATAGTGGCACAGTGAACAACATTTATAGATTTATATCTAGAGACTGGTGTAGTTCTTGATATACTAAAAAAGGCCCAAGTAACACCACAAAAAGAACATCCAAATTGACAAAGCCACCTTTAGGCCTGTCAGTGTTTGAAATACAACTTGTTGATTAAAAAAAATCCTTATCTATGTACTTTTAGACGTGGCCATGTATGTCAGACCAAACTTATAAGACTTCTAGAAGATTGGCGTGCAGTATTAGATAATATGAGGTATATAGCTGCGGTTCTTGATTTTTGATTTCCTACTGCATGTAATTCTGCTCGATAACTTATGGTGTCTCTTCTCATTCGATTGAACTTCTTCAATCTTATTTTTCCAATAGGAAACAGCAAATTAAAGTAAATAGTGTTCATAGCAGTTGACTGACATTCATAGGGGCTACCGCTGGGCCGTCTACTGTTCAATGTGTTTATCAATGATGTATTTTTATCTTAAAACAATGGAACTCTGTTTAATTATACAGATGACAATATTTTACCTTACTGTAATTCAGATAATGATGTTTTAATTCCTACTTTAGAATCTGAATCACTTAAACTTATTAAATGGTTCAAAATTTATTTAATGCAGGCAAACCCTGGCAAATTTCGGTGAAAATATTTGGGGGAAAAATACATATAGCAAAAATCTATGAATCTGTATTCAAAGTAATGGTCTTTCATGCGAGTAAACTGCTACACTACTTTGACTGCATTGACATTAAGTACCAGTAAAATTGTGATATCAGTACAAAAAAAATGTAGGAAGGCATAACAGCGGCTAAATATTTTGAAACGTTTTGGATGTTATTTGAACAAGCTAAGTAAGCTACTAAACTTTTTCACCCAATATAGGTTGCACTTCTGTAAATATAGGCAATGCAAATTCCCATAGGAAATTTTTTACGGCTAAAACTGTGCCACCATTACAATGAAGTTACCTAAAGAAATATATCCTAGAATGGAAAGTTTATATATATGCACTACTATTTTTTTCAAAGGTCAAAACATAAGGCAGTGCAGCATATTTTCAACATTTATATGCCTCGAACTTCTAACGTTTAAACATATACTAAAATACTGTACTACCCCTACATTCACTTTGGGTCTTCTTCAGAATTCAAGTTGGCCGCTATCCATGTGTATTTATACTGGTAACATTCTCAAGTTGTGTCTGTACGAGATGAATCATAAAGATAATATCTGGAAACCAGAAGTTAAACACAACTAAATATCTATGAACATTAAGTTTCTGCCAAAAAAGGCGTGATTTGTGAAACAGCTGTATTTACAAAGTGCAACCTACATGTAAAAGACACAGGTCAATGACAATTGAAAATTTTAACATAGTTAATAATTTTGAGACTATCTGTTTACCTGATCTATTCCCATAGCTACATTTGGCAAAACCTTTCGGAATTTTGAGTCCTCAATGCTCCTCAACTTCGTTCCTTATTTGGCCTTTTTTTACTTTTTTTTATTCAAGCGTCACTGATGCGTCTTTTTTTTGTTGAGAATATTTGTTTTTTTAATTTTGGCATTTATGATCAGTTTAATTAAATGTAAAAGATTGGAAATATTGTTTCAGATATAGTAATATACTGAATATTCAAAATGTTAAATCCTCACAGTTTGGTAAGAAAAGTCGCAGATTTACAGCTGCTACTCCGTGGAACATCCTACCTGACCATTTCCGGACTGAAAATAGGTTTTCACATTTCAAGAGCCTCATACAGTTCTGGAAACCTTTCCTGCATTATTGTTTGGTTTTAGCGTTTTACATTTAAACTGATATGCTGAATGTGTGTATGCCTTCACATGTTTTTTTTTTTTTTTTTTGCTTTGATTTTAGTCGTGCTTTAAATAAGTGTTGCTCAGTTTTAGATGTGCTTAAATCTTATTTGTGCTCTAATTCAAGTCATGCTTCTGTTTTAGCATGTTTAGATGTGCTGTATCTATGCATTGTAATACATGTTGCTGATGTATATCTTATTTGCATTCTCTTTCTTTTAATGTTATGTTAACGTTAATTATATTCGGTAAAAAGCTCTAAAGAGCTTATGTTTGTAATGTTATATGTGAACCGAATCAGAATAAAACTTTCATATTCTTATTCGTATAGTTAAAACAATTATGAAAAGATATCATCAGTTCATGTCATTGCTGCGGTACTAGCACGATTTATAAGATACCTTACCTGTTGATAAATTCAGATATGTTTAAGAAAAAAAAAAGATCCAATTCATGCATGCACATTTTCCCTTAAAAAAGTTAGACATTACCTTTATGTTTGTTTTGGTCACATGAATCCCAACCTTTCTAAGTAATGACACATCCATGGAATCTGCAAATTTTTCGATTTGAGCATTTCAGATAGAGGTTAAACCAAACAAGCGCTTCGGACGCACGAAATGTATAAAGCGGTATGTTCAATCACTAGCACTTGGTCAATACCACTGATTGAGGACAGTTAGTCTCCGATAAGTTCATATTAAGTTAGGAATCGCAAAAACTATCCAGTTGTCAACATTCAACCATCAAGTTGATCTAAATTGTAAGCTTCAAAGCTAGAGAATCAGTTTTCGTCTCGAAATCACAAAATAAAATATTCAAAAAACATGCGACTTTTAAGCGGTTTTGTAGCAATACAGGTATGACATTACATAATAGAGATTTGGGAATGGAAATGTGGAGTATGTCAAAGAGACAACAACCCGACCAAAGAGCAAAAAAAAAAAACCAGCCCAAAGCCACCAATTGGTCTTCAACACAGCGAGAAATATTCCGCACCCGGAGGCGGGCTTCAGCGGCCCCTTAATCAGACTGTACTAGTTCAGTGAAAATGGACATCACACTAAATTCCAAAACATATAAACATATAACATGTAAGCATATTTCAATAAATGACATAATGAAGTCTTGGTTATAATTGCCTGTAAAATGCTGACAAATCTGGATCAGAACATCTTTATCGATCACCTTTGCCAATATTAGCCTGACAATATGAAAAAAAAAGAATTTTATATTCGACCTCTTGCGAAAAAGTCAAGATGAAACAAGGGTAATTAACAACTATCAAAATTAACATCATCATTACGGTAGGTACGTTAGGTTTTTTTTTAATGTAATCGATTACCTTTTGGACTTTGTAATTCGCCCGCAACGAATCAACGTTTGATGGAAGATGATTTGATTATTTTTTCAAACACATTTGAGGAACATTTTTAAAGCCTGAAAATAATATTTCAAAGACTGAGGGAATGCAATTGAAAGTAAGGATTGAGAAAAT